TGAATAACAAGAATTCCACTATGTCTTCCACGTACCATTCTGGTAATGCGGTGAATTTGCACATAACTTCTTGAGGCAACGGAAGTTCGGGAAAAGAATTATTCAGAGCAGTCTGCGTTAGAAGACTCAGCAAAAATTCGGCGACCGATATATAAAAGCCTAAGCATCTTCTCAAAAAGATGGGCTCTATCAGAGACCATCCTATCTCTGCACATAATTTGAATGTAACCAGTTGCTTCAACTGTTGCTTCCATTGTTCGATCAAGTCTTTATTGTGCTCCGCTAAAGGACCATCTTTCCATTGAGATTCTGTAGCTTGCAGTTCGTCGAGCATTTCTTGTAAACCCTCTGAGTCATACAATTTTCTCCGATAGTTTTGCAACGCCGGTAACAGCGCGATGTGATGACAATGCAGCGTGAGGAACCAACATTGTGTCGGAAACTTCGGTTCCGTCCATTTATGTGTGCTGTCCAAATGTTTCTGCCATTCCGCAACCTCTTGCGAAGTGAGTTTCAATCTTGTGTCGTTTTTTATCTCGATGAAATTGGAAGGATGAAATGGATATAGCGGGTCTACAGTATCCAGCTTGATATTCACAGAGAGCATTTGCAAAATCGATAGTAGATTCAACATAAATCCATCTCCGGCCAAGGAGAAATTATCCTCCGTCTGTATTTGCACGCGTTTATCGTTGTGACGTAGCAACGCCGCCAAGTATGCAAGAGTGGCATCGCGGCAACTGCTATTCGCGAGTATCGTATCAAACATCTTGTGCAACGACATTCTGGTATTCTCCAACCCTGACTGCAGCTCGAGAGTCATCGATTTTTTCGGATTGTCAATAATGAAGAATATCTCCAGCAGTCTCGGTTGCACTTCGGCAGATACCAATGCCGAGAGAAACGGTCCCAGGAGTGAAGTTCTCGAGAGCTCTCTTCCGGCTGCTGATGTCATAACATCAGGCAAGAATTTAAGAACACTATTCGTTATCAAACGGCAAATCGGATGTATATTGCTGTTTGGTCCACTGCGAATCTCTATTAGTTCGCCTAGCGTGTCCATCGGTCTTCTTGGCGTATTGCCGTTTAAGCTCGCCTTGTATATCGCGAAATACAGCTTAGACAAGACTGGAGCGAAAATTTGATCGAACATATCCGGATTCGTGTGTGTCCTAGCCACGAGCTCGCGAAGATAGCCCCGAGGTAAGTTCTGCGATAATATCCGATTGAAAAGATAAGTGGTGCAATCAGGTATGACAGCAGGTACATGGTACATGCCGATTAACCCTTGTAGAACGAGGATGGAATACTGAACACATTGCGCTTTCAAAATTGCCACTACTTCGTAGAGAATTTCGAGGAGAAGTAGACAGGATTGCTATAAAATATATAAAAAAGAATTAGTTTAATAAAATCTTGTCTAATTTTGAAGATATGTGTGTGTATATGCGTACCTTCCCATGATTTCTTTCTTCAATTGCAATTAATGAATAGCAATTTAATAAATAAGTAAAACTTTTCGGTTCTGATGAGTTGTCGTCTGGTATTGGTATCATCGGTAATTGATAAGAAGAAGAAGCCCCCACAAAACTTAACAAAGGACTCGCTTGACTATTCGGACTGTCTTCACGGCCAGATGACACGGCTGGAATACTGAACACATTGCGCTTTCAAAATTGTCACTACATCGGAAAGAGTATCGGAGAGAAGTACACTGGATTGCTATAAAATATATAAAAAAGAATTAGTTTAATAAAATCTTGTCTAATGTTGAAGATATGTGTGTGTATATGCGTACCTTTCCATGATTTCTTTTTTCAATTGCAATTCTTGAATAACAATCTAATAAATAAGTAAAACTTTTCGGTTCTAATGAACTGTCGCCTAATAATGGTGTTGTCCAAAATTGACGAGATACAGGATACCTCACAGAAATTAACAAAAGACTCGCTTGACTATTCGGATTGTCTTCACGGCCAGATGACACGTCTATCAAAGGATCCTCCCCTCTCGAAAACATATACAAAACCTCCTGCAATGCCTGATGAATAATATCGCTAAAATTCATTCTTCTCTGTGTTTGCATGTATGCTGCCGATGTTTGCGGCAGAAATATGCTTCCCTCTATAGGGCTTTTCCACGATACGCACAAGACACGTGATATGATTGCTTCTGCAAAATCGACTCGCTCCTTCATCTGATTCAAATGCAAATCACAGGCGCATTTTTCATGTATCATTGCATTTCGTTCTGCTATCTGCAAATTCTTTGTCTTCTCTTCCAATCTAGAGAACATACGTTGAATAAAAATGTTAGTCATACTCATTAAATCACAAACATATCACAACGGAGTAAGATTTTTGGCGTAAGCTGCTTACGCGGGCTCCGTCCACAATACGATAGAGTAAACGTAATAGGCAAAAACTTTTAAGAGGAAATGGGAATTGCCTATTTCGTTACTCTCGGTCTTTACATCACTAAAAACAGTATACTCTCCTACTCCTACAGCCTTGTTACTGCCATTATAGAATGCCCTTTAGAGGAATCTTTCCATTTGTTACTCTCATTTGTTACTCCCAACCTGTTTTTGGCCGGATTATACCGATCCAATTAGATCGGATGTGGCCACAATAAGAAAGAAGAAGAAGAAGAAGAAGAAGAAGTATGTAAGACCGTGATCCTTGCTGGATCTCTCTTGGATCTGGATCTTTTGTCCTGTACGATTTCGTCGGTGGATCGATCAGAATGACGGAAAAATTACGTAAGTAGTTGCGATTAGCGCAACAGGCGTTTCTTTAATTTAATCCAAATGTCAAAAAAAAAATCTGTATTTTTGTATTCCTGTTTGAATCCCAGAAATACATTATTTTATTCCACTGTTTTGAAATTATTTTATAAGCTGTTAAATGAGCATAAATATATATACATATGTGTGTGTATAATCACATATGAGTATAATTGTATTTAATTTTTGGCAATTAAATAATATATAGATATAACTTTTACGCGTAATAAAATATTAATTCAATTATTTTATGCACACGTACATTATTAGTATACATATTTTACTTTTCTACTTATCATACTATTTTATATCTAATATTTTTTTTACCACACACACATATAGTCTCTCTCTCTGCAATAATTTTTTATATATATAGTGATATTATTTTTAAATATACTATATATGTATATATAGGCGTCATATTTCATTTTATCTCGATATAATAGTAACAATATTTAAAAAATTACTAAAGAATAATGTAAAAAATATAATATTACGTATAAGTGATTAATTATTACAAAATTGTAAATATTTTGTTGCTATAAAATTTATAATACATATTTTATCATCTGTAGATAAAATTTTTGATTGACTTTCTGTGCTTGAATAAAATAAATTCTCGTGCCATCTATGGCATAACGTGAGCAATGGAATTGTGTGTCTGTGTTTTAAAGATCGGTAGAGTGATAGGAGTTTTCTCTATTGCATTGCAGTGAAATAAAGTATTTGATATTGAAAGTATAGATCCATTAGCACAAAAAATATTGCTATACTTAAAAGGAAGTAAAGATCAATTAACTAAAACAAGAGCAAGTAAATATGAGATATATCTAATTCCATTTATTGTAATTTTGTAGAAACAAGAGAAATAATTATTTTATATATAATAATCGTGCAATT